GTGGTTCAGCCTGTAATCCCAGCACTTGAGAGGCCAAGGCAGGAGGGTTGCCAGGACAGGCTAGCCTGGGCTACATAGTGAGACCCTATCGCAAAAAACAACAAAATAAATAAAAACCAAAACAAAGCCCAACTAAAACCAAAACAAAACAAGTTTTGCCTTCGGGCCAGGTATGTTTGCGTCTGTTTGTGACTGAGCACTTGGGAAGCCGAGGCAGGAGTGGCAATAGTACAGTAAGCATCTTTGTGGTTACATAGCAAGATCCTGTCACCCTCCACATTTGTGTGCGTTTGTGCACGTAGAGGCTAGAGGTTCACATTGGGGTCTTCCTCAGTCACTCTCTTTTTCTGAGACAGGGTCCCCCACGGAACCTGGAGTTCACTGATTCAACTAGACTGACTGGTCAGCAGGCCTCAGAGATTCTACCCTATCTCCGTCTCCCTGGCACTGAGATTATAGGCAAGGTGTGCGTCACCATGCCTGGCTTTTTACATGGGTGTTGGGGGCTTGAATTCAGTTCATGCCTGTATGGCAAGAACTTTATCTACTGACACTTCTCCCCGGCGTCCCCAATTCTCTTCACTATGAGGCCTTGTCATAGTAAGCACAGCTTTACCATGGAGCATCCAGTGCCTGAAAACAGAGAGAGAGAGAGTGTGTGTGTGTGTGTGTGTGTGTGTGTGTGTGTTCTTACCAAAAATTATTTAAGTGTTGGGCTAGAGAGATGGCTCAGTGGTTAAGAGCACTGGCTGCTCTTGCAGGAACCTGGGTTCAAAATATAAATATATGTATAGCTGTGTAATTCAGGTTAGCCTTGAACTCAGAATCCTCCTGCCTGAGCCTCAAGCCATGTCTTTATGATATTGTTATTATATTATTATTATTATTATTATTATTATTATTATTATTATTATTGACAGTGTTTCTCTATATAGCCTAGGCTCACCTTGAACTCACTATGTAGGCCAGGGTGGCCTTGAACTCACAGTCTTCTATTTCATCCTCCCTAGTACTGAGTCTACAGGTACACACCACTGAATGTGATTTAGAAATTCATTACTTGGGGTTGGAGAGATGGCTCAGTGCTTGGGAGCACTGGCTACTCTTGCAAAGGACCTGGGTTTGATTCTGAGCACCCACATGGTGGCTACGAACCGTCCTTACCTCCAGTTCCAGGGAAATACAAAGCCCTCTTCTGACCTCCACGGCATTGCATGACACAGGTGCACTCACATACATGCAGGCAATACACTCATACACATAAAATAAAAATAATAAATTTTAAAAAGGCATAAAAATAATAAATAAAATTTAAAAAATGATTTAAGTGTCTATTAAAGACTTTAGGGGTTAGAGAAATGGCTCAGTGGTTAAGGGCACTGCTTTTGCAGAAGACCCAGGTTTGGTTCCCAGCACTCACATGGCAGCTAACAACCATAAGTAACTCCAGTTCCTGGAGATCCAATGCCCTCTTCTGACCTCCGTGGGCATTGCATGACATGGGTGCACTTACACACATGCACATAAAATAAAAATAGTAAATAAAATATTTTAAATAAGACTTTAATGTTGGGCCAGGGAGTGTGGCTCTGTGCTATAAATGCTAGCCTAGCATGCTCAAGGCCCTGGGCTCCTTCAATTCTTAGCACCAAATAAAACAACCCCAAACCAATAAAGTACCTTTAATGTCTGTATGCTGAACTTGGAATCAGTGATTTTCTAATCTGTTTTAAAATTCTTTAAATGAACGTTTCAGCTGATTTTGAACTGAGCTGTTAAAAACATAATAACATAGTAATACCTCCTGCCTTGTTACAGGAGCTATTATTTGTCAGAGAAAATGAGCTTTACTAGCAAGATGTTCACAAAATCCTTTCTGTCAGTCCTTTATGTCACTGGTGGCTGGAGGTGGATGATGTCTCCCGTGTTCCTCCTCCTCATCTCTTTCCAGTGGAGCATCCTGTATCCCAGGAGGAGCCTTTGTCAGTCTTGTGGGAGTTCAGAGAGTAAACTGAAACTACATCTGGATAGCTTTCAAGCCCGGGTTACAGGACATTGGCCACATTTAGATAAGTGAAAGCTCACTCAGTTCTGTTGCCATTGAAAAGATTAAGTTCATGTGGTTTTTGTTGTTGTTGTTTCTTTTATAAGCTTTTAAGAATTATTTTTTATTTTATGTGTATGAGTGTTTTACTTGCACGTATGTCAATGTACCCATGTCACGCAATGCCCATGTAGGTCAGAAGAGGGTGTCAGATTCCCTGGAATTGGAGTTACAGATAGTTGTTAGCTGCCATGTGGGTGCTGGGACTTGAACCTGGGTCCTCTGCAAGAGCAGCCAGAGCTCTTAACCACTGAGCCATCTCTCCAGCCTTGTTTGTTTGTTTGAAACAGTGTCTCCCTATAGCCCCAGCTGGCCTGGAACTTGTGATGTAGATCAGGCTGGCCTCAGTTTTACAGAGATCCCCCTGCCTCTGCCTACCAAGTGCTGGGATTAAAGGCTTGTGCCACCATGCCTAGTAGCTCATGTGGTTTTAATGATTTCAAAGAAGTTATGATGCTCTTGGGCTGGTGAGATGGTTCAATAGGTAAAGGTGTCAGGCCAAGCCTGACCACCTGAGTTCAATCCTGGATCCACTCAGTGGAGGGAGAGACTCAACCCCTACAGGTTGTCCTCTTTCCTCCACAAGTATGCCCCTCCCCCAAATAAATTAAAATGTACAAAAGAGGTTGCTTGATGCTCTTAATAAATGGCATATTAATATATATATTTAAAATTGGTTATTTTATCTTTGTTTTGCTCTTTAAGGTATCCTCTTTTTGGCATTTGAAAAATGATGAGGATGGGGCTGGAGAGATGATGCACTGGTTAAGACCACTTGCTGCTCTTCCAGAGGACCCAAGTTTGATTCCCAGCACCCATGTCAAGGGCTCACAACCACCTGTAATTCCAGCTCCAGGGGGTCTGATGCCCTCTTTTGGCCTCTGTGGGCACACATATATGTATACACATGAATAAAAATAAATCTTTTAAAAATGTTGATATATTGGCACACTGGCACATTTTGTAACTTGTAAACAAATACCCATATGACAGCACTGTGTGCTTAGGTCTTTGCTGGATGGGGTGTAGCCAGACACACTTGAGACAGTAGCTCTGGCCACTGGACCTTTGTCATCCCTCTGTGACTCTCACGAGCTGTTATTGATGTGTCATTTCCTTACCGGGTGAGCTGGAGCCGGCCGAGCTCTTAACTCAGTGTGTGGGGTCAGCGCACAGAGGAGACCTTCAGGGAGTGCTTTCTGTGCAGAGTGAGCAAACACTACTTCCCTCTGGGCCTCAAAGGGAGCACAGTGCTTGAGGTCTTGGCATCTCATCACTGTCCTTGCCATCAACTTCGCTGTATGTGTGTTGATGCATGTGCAGGTACACATGTATGTGGAGGCCATCAGTCAACTTTGTGTCTTTCTCAGGAACCTTCAAGTTTGTTTTTTTTTCTTTAATATTTATTATTATTTTTTAATGTGTATGCGTGTATTGCCTGCATGTATGTGAGTGTACCCATGTCGTGCAATGCCGTGGAGATCAGAAGAGGGTTTCGGATTTCCCTGGAACTGGAGTTAAGGACAGTTCGTAGCTGCCATGTGGGTGCTGGGAATCGAACCCGGGTCCTCTGTAAGAGCAGTCTGTGCTCTTATCTGCTGAGCCATCTCTCCAGCCTCCCACCTTGTTTTTTTGAGACAGGGTTTCTCACTGGGACCTGGGGTTCACTAGTTATGTGAGGCTGGCTGGCCAGTGAGACTTAGGGATCTGCCTGTCTCTACCTCTCCAGCACTGGGATGGCAAGCACATCTCACCACGCCCAGATTTTTATGTGGGATCTGGGAATTGAACTTGGGTCTCATGCTTGCATGGCAAGCACTTTACCAACAGCCATCTTTCCATCCCCTTGGCTGCCAGCTGCTCTATCCTCACCCTGCCATTGCTTGGCCCACTGGAGGAGTCCTGGAGCCAAAAAGCAGTCAAGATTTCCCTGTTGGGCTCTGGAAGCTTCATGCTGTCTCTGAGGGAAGTCTCCATGTAGTTGGCAGGTGTCAGGGCCATGCCTGGTGTGAACCTGACCCCTGGTGACATGTCTGGTTTCAGATGCTTAACTCAGATACTTCCCGGTGAGATGCCTCTCAAAGCTGGTCTGCTTTTTTGTTCCAGGTTTGGGCACATTAAGCATGACAGATGAGAATTCAGTCAGTGATGTGAGATGTAGAAGCCACACTGGACAGTGAGAGGAGGGCTGGTTTTGACCTACCCCGAGTGATGGACACTTCTGAAATTCATATTGCTTACCGCTAAGAGATCCTAGTGACAGCTGTTTTCTACATCGTATGTCTGTATGCGCACAGACATTTATCACAGCATACGTAGAGACTTGACAACTGTTTATGATGATGTGAAAAATGACCAGTGCTATTTCTAGCCCTGTCGGGCCAGGACTGCAGACCCTAGTGGTCCACACCTGCTGTCTGTTCTGCTCTTGTTTGCGACCCAGTATGTCAAGGTACCTGCTGTGCCTGTAACAAACCCGTCCTTAGTTTATAAAGACTAAGGTAGATCTTGAAATAAAATCCAACCAAGCCTGATTTTAGATTTTAAACTCCTAGATAAACAATCCCCCTTCACCTGTGCAGCCTGGAAAATGTCACTTAACTTCCCGAAGTCTGTTGTTTTCAGCTATGAAGTGGGCTTAATGGATGAATGGCTTAAATGAGATAATACACACAGTACTTGTAGAACATGCAAAAGATTGTTTAGCCCTGGTCCGGGGGTTGGCAGAGAAGGAAAGCGAAGTGCTACCTCTGTTGTGTTTCCAGAAGGTCTGTACTGGGCCATGGGGGGCCCTGTACTGGGCCATGGGGGGCCCTGGTGAGCTCTCTGAGCATCTTCACTTTAAGATGCTTGTGATCTCAGTATTTAATCATTTCTTGTCTGTTTTCCCTTGCAGGAACCCAGGTATTTAGTGGCCAGAGCGACTTCAGAATCACCACCTTGAAATTTTATCCCAAAGATCACAGCATCTTTTTATGTGGAGGCTTCAGCTCCGAAATCAAAGCTTGGGACATAAGGACTGGCAAGGTGACACCTTCTCTCTAGGCTGGCCGTGTGTGTGTGTGTGTGTGTGTGTGTGTGTAGGACAGAGGCCAACCTTGAGTGCCAATTCTCAAGGGCTCTCTACTTATCTTTTGAGACACAGTTTCACTGGGATCTAAGGCTGGTTGATCTGGTTAGACTGACTGACCAGCAAGCTCCGGGGATCCACCTGTCTCCACTTCCTCAGCACTGGGATTACAAATGCACATCATCACAGTTGGCTTTTTACATGGGTTCTGGGGATCGAACTAAGGCCCTCATGCTTGTGGGGTAAGCCATCTCCTCTGTTCCTGGTAGGCCAGCCTTCTTATGGAAGAGTTTTCCTTCACAATTTGAACAATTAGGGACAGGCCAGTGCCTGTATGCTTGAGACAGAATAATTGCTACTTCATATTCAATTGGGGATGAGAGTCATTTTAAGAGATTTTTGAGAGAACATTCTTGATTAGTTGGATGATTACTGCATTACTGGTACCATTTTGTGCAGCATATCACCAAGAGTATTTGTCGAGCACCTACTGTGTGTATAAAGTGAACCAGCCTGGGATTTTCAAGGAGGTATAAATGGAGCATAGACAACTCTGGTGCAGAGAGTGCTGTGTGTGCGTGGATGTGTGTATGCATGTGCATGTGTGTGCATGCATGTGCATGTGTATATGCGTGCCTGTATCTGCATGTGTGCATGTGGGTGGGTGTTCACATATGTGTGCTTGTGTGTGAGCAGAACAGCATGCTGCTTTCACCTTGCTACGAAGGGGGCTTCTTGGAATTGATGCTGGTGCCTTGGAGCTTAGGAGCTGGGGAGTTTCCACTCCTGCCCTTTGCTATGCTCCAGGTGTCTGCCATTTAATTCTTGGCAACTTCTTCCAGTTGTTTGGGCCCCAAACATCAGCAATAACCCTACCTCTGTCTTCCCAGCACACCGCCCCCCCCATAACTGTCAGCAAGCTCTGTTCCACTGTCACAGTCTCCACCACTTCTGCCCCGTCCACTGCTGTAGCTGAGGCCTGGCTGCCATCATCTCCTGCTAGGAAAGCTGGTTTCCTCTTTCATCTTCCTTGCCCTTGGCCCTTACAGTCTTTTTCAGTACAGCACCAGAGTGATCTGAATCAGACAGATCAGTCCTTAGGCAGAATCTCCAGGTTCCCATCTCAATCACAGTGAAAGCCAATGGTCCACAAGGCTTAAATGATCTCCCCACAGCCCGTTCCTATCATCTCAGTCCCGCCACACTCCTGCCTTTCCCAGAGCACTCCTGCACACTCCTGCCCCGGACCTCTACTTGGTGTGCTTGGCTCCTGCCTGGACTGTTCCTCCCCAGTTTCCTCCTAGGGGACATTGCTCCAGTAAGTCTCCCCTGCCCTCCACCCCCAGGTTTTTATGTCACCTGGCACACTGTGGGCTTTTCATGTTCCTATTTGCCTGCCTCCCTGCACTCACATGTGAGCTCCTGTAGGGCAGGGATCTGCCTGTTCGCTGGAGTGCCTGGCACAGGTAGACATGTAGTGAATTATGGCTGTCGAAATACATGAAGAAGGAAGACAGCTATGCAGACTGTGTAGATACAGGAGGTGGGAGTGTGAGGGGTGTGTGACCTGGGCATGGCTAGAGAGGGATCTGCGCAACAGCATGGGCCTGACTGAGACCTTCAGGCTGTATGTCTTGGCCTGGGCTAGAGGAGGGTCATTCAATGAGGGCAAGCACTAAAGAGCCATGGAGGTTGGTGAGCAGGGCTGAGGAAGGACTCTGCTGCAGCCGTGCCTGTGTAGGAGGTGGAGAGGCAGAGGTGCACATGAGGCTTGTCAGAAGAGGGGCCATACAGGCCTGACTGACTGGGATGCTCAGTGACTCTCGGCTATTTTCGGTTCTGAGGAGCACTGTCCTAGACTGATAGAGGCACAGCCTCTGTGTCCCACAGGGTGGCTCAGATGCAGTTCAGCCTGCATGGACACTGACCAGGAAAGGAGGTGGTGCAGAGCAGCAGTGTCCTCTTCCTTTCCCCCCTGAGGGGCTCTAGGGCTGTAGCATCTGCAGCATTAGAAGGGCCTACTACAAAGCATTCATGCCACCTGGGGATGTCCTGGACAGGTGAAGCATCCATGCAGGAAGAACCAAGTAGTGGCTGTTTTGTGAGGTTAGGGTGGAGAGAATGTGCTAGAGCCACCAAGGCCTGGATTCTACATCTGTAGTCATACCATGCATATCTCAGACCATCCTCTCCAGACAGGCCTTGCACTGCAGGCTGTGGAAGGGCTGTGGGCTTCTGAGGAGAACCTACAGGTAGAGACCTTTCTTGAAAGAAAGTGATGGGGGTTTTGTCCATGGAGAAGGTCTTGCTTGAGGGACCTCAGAAGTGGCAGCTTAGATCCATACACTTTCAAAACAGCAGTTTTCTTTTGTAAAAGAAACTTTTTACAAAAATATGTGGGAAAGAGGCATATTACCTGCAAATAAATGGACACAGAGGATTTTTAAAAAAAAAAACAAAAACACTGGATTACTTCCTATTTAGGATAAACAGAAGAAAAGTGTTTGAGCACTGTATGCAAATCAGACAGTGTAAGTCAGACCCTTGAGGGGGACCACCATATTGCTCAGCCTTCTCGATAATTGCCTGTAAAGGTGCACATCGTGTTTTTAGCCTCAAAGACCAAACATATAAGAAATTACTCACCGTGGACGCCATCTGATCTCAGAGTTTGTTAAAAACACTGGATTTTCTCCCCGGGCGGACGCCAGCTGACGGCTTCTGAAAATGCTGGGAGAAACAATTCGAAGCAGATGTTGCTGTGACTGCTCTTGGCATGTTTGCGAGTCTCTCCCAAGCTAATAATGTGGGTGAAGGGATCTGCACGGTATTTGTTTTTACTTCCTTTTTACCAACAGTCCTCCCCCACAGGGTCACATGGAGTGGGGGGTAGTTGTTCTGTTTGCATCGTGAGGGCTCAGGAGACAATGCTCCTTCCTGCTTTGACAAGTGCTGCTGGTGGCTCCTTTGGATGGAGCCTGCAGGAGGCTCTGTCCCTGGTGCTGAAGTCTCCACCTAGCAAAAGCCTGCCCTGTCAGGGGCCACAGTGGGCACTGCGGGTGCAAGCAGGAGGGACACAGACCTTGGCTTCCAGTCAAGGCAAGCTTCCCCTTGTAGCTACATGGGGAAGAGCATTTATGGGAACATGGTAGGCAATCTTATGACAAGTAGGCAATTCAGGGAGAGAGAGATGCGTGGTCTGAGCAGCCAGAGGGTACATGGGTGATATTCTGGTGTTTTCCTTCTGTTGCTTTCCCCCCATGGTTTCTTTTTGGTCTTATCTTTTTGCACACTTTTAAATCTTCCTTTTAACATAGGTTATAAGAACTTGGCTTGTGATCACCAACTCTTGGGAAACTTTCAACGGTGTTCCCTTGCCTTCCTCACTTGCCTCCGCTTGCCTCCACCTTAGTTCCCATGCTCAGAACAATTTATGGCAGGCTCTTGGTAGATTTCTGTGGGTAGAAAGAAATCAGATGGATGACTGCTTTAATCTACTACACCATTTCACTGTGTTGGACATGGATATTTCAAAAACCTTTTTGCCATTTAAAATGAACAGATGTGAGTAGAGAGATCAGGGACCCTTGAAGTGTAGGATCACATCAAATCCAGCTTGCCACCTATTTGTAAATAAAGTTTTATTGGAATACAGCCATATTCACTCATTTATGTACCCTCTGTGGCAGTGTTGAGACTGCATGGCCTACGAAGTCCCAGATACTTACAGTCTGGCTGACCCTGGGTATGGAGAGACCTGGCTTTGATGTCTGTCAGGACTAAAACTCCCCAGCTGCTGACAAGGTGGGGGCCCCTCTACCTACCCCTTTTCCATGTATCTCCGCAGACACCACTTGCTCAGAGAATGTCTTCTCTAGATGGTAAGGAACTTGTCTCCAGTCAGGGGTGTTTGAGTCGTTTTTCTTGTTATGATCTCAAAGTGGGCCGTCAACATTGCCTAGGTAGACTCCACTGTAATACCATCCTTGTGCAATGAGCTTTTTCACATTTGGGATTTAGTCCCTTAAGCTCAAGTATAAACTCACATTCTGAGTCAAAGTGAGCCAGGCTTTTGTAGGCCAGAATCAGACTTCTGCCTGCAGGACCACAGATGTTCAGGCCGTCACTGGGGACCACAGTAGGCCCAGCAGTCTCTCCTGAGGACCTCAGGGCACATGGTCTGATGAACAGTTGAAGTATATCCTTTTTTAAAATTTTTATTATTTTTATTATTATTGTTTTTTGGTCTTTTTGAGACAGGGTCTCCCTGTAGTCCCAGCTGTCCTGGAACTCACTATGTAGACCAGGCTGGCCTCTGCCTCCCCAGTGCTGGGATTAAAGATGTGCACCACCACGCCCAGCTTATTATTTCCATTTTTTGTGTATGCGTGTATTGCCTGCATGTAGGTAAGTGCACCCATGTCGTGCAGTGCCCACGGAGGACAGAAGAGGCTGTCGGATCCCCTCGGACTGGAGTTATGGACAGTTGTTAGCTGCCATGTGGGTGCTGGGATTCGAACCCGGGTCTTCTCCAAGAACAACCAGTGTTCTTAACTGCTGAGCCATCTCTCCAGCCCCTTGAAGTATAACTTTTAAGCATCATTCTATTCATTAGATTTTCTGGATCCTTAAACTGCAAAATAACAAGTGTTGGGATTCTCCCTTTGTCCAGTCCGTCCCAGTTCATTACAACAAATGGGTTGCTTGGCTCCTTCCTTCTTTTCTTGGCCGATCTCTCTGCTGTGGCCTGATGACCAGGTCCATCTCATCACTGCAAAGTGCCTGACTTCACTTCCAGCATCCGCAGGACATGCTCCACATTAACCAGCCAAGCTAAACTGGCTGGATGCCACCAGTGCTGCATTCTGTGACTAATTCTTCTAGCATGTTCTCTGGTAAGGGTATGGTCTGGAACTCAGGATGTCCTGGTCTGACCTTCACTGCGCTGTGGGTGCCC